CACAGCCGCGTTGACAGACAGTCTGCCACAGTCAACAGTCACTGCCAGGCTTGAGCTGTGGTTGCAGCTGATGCCGGTAGAATAAGAGGGGCTGTGACCTGAGCTCAGTTTGGACAGTCTGGTTTTGTTATCTATGTTCTGAAACCACACAGGTAAGGCTTTGGCTAAACTTTAACCTTCCAGAACACACAACAGGAACGTTCCACTCTGCAGACAGTACAGAACACAATTTGTTCTCTCTTTGTCTGGTTTTCCAGCACGGGTGAGCAGTGGATGCTGATATGGACACTGCTTCCTCAGCCTCTTCTCTGCAGTACCTTGCCAAACTGCTTTGCGATGCTCCAGAAGACGATGGTGATGATGAACATGTGGTGAGTCATCTAGAAGAAATGCTGCTAGTTTGTATGTTGCTCCATAGCCCAACCTTGGTAACTGAGGAGAAGCAAATCTCTCCTTTCCCCAGAGTGAGTAAAGAGAGAATGAGAACCTTAGATGGTTTTGGACTGAAACAGCCGGAAGGTGCTTTTATGGTAACAAGCTCTTGGGGGAGAAAGCACAGAAGCTGCCCCAGGAAATCAAGGGGAGATCATGACTGTAAAATGGGAGGGAGGTTTAAGTTTCCAGCCTTCAGGCCTTTCCCTCAGGAAATGAGAACATGTAGTTGAAAGAGCTTTAGTTACTTTATACTTTAGCCTGCTTTTCTCTGAAGTCTGCCAGAGATGAAGGCAATGCTGTAAATGCTTCATACAAAGAAAAAAAGTTGATGCTCAACTTCTGAGTAAAGGCTGAAATATCCAGAGGTGACTGTGAGTGTTCTAATCCTGTGTCAGGTGCTGGACAACTGTAGATATAAGTGATCACTGAAGTACATTAGATTATGTTGATTATTGTCAGAGGGAAGGGTTACTAATTCTTCTAAAGTGGATGACCTGAATGATTACGGAGAGAAATATCTTTCCATTCCTCTATACCTGTCCATCTCAGGACTAGAGGAAAATTACAGCTTAGGGGAAATGTACATTGTTCCTGCAACCTTCAGCTGCTGCTTTTACCTGTGTGCTGGGGAGAGGTCTCCCTGGAGGGCTGCAGGTGCCCACAGCCACAGTGTTAAAAGCCTCTGCGACGGCTCTAAACTTTGCCAAGTCTCTTAGGAGTTTGCACAGGTTGCATTAGGACATGGATAGCAAAAATAGCAAATGCCTCTGTGTTCTTCCAAATCACTCCTCAAGGCTGACCAAGCAGCTGTGCAGTAGTAGTGGCAATGGTGGTAGTATCTGGGATAAAAGGGGTGCACGCCCCTTGAAATTTCCATGTGGTAGGTGATAGATGTGGTCCTTCATGAGCTAAGTGCCCTTCAGCTGTTTAATGCCTACGTTTTAAAGCTAGCATTGTTGTCTGTACATCTTTGCAATAAACATCTTGATCTTAAAAGAATTTGTTTACATCTTATTAATGAAGGGAATGCCACTTCAGTGACAGAAACGGCAAATTGCCACAGGGGTGTCAATTAAGTCTGAGTCAATCTGGGTAAATTGTAATCTTTATTTTGATTTAATTTAATGTTCTGTGCATATGAGGCACTCTTATCAAACCAAGGAACCTTCATATATAGAGAAATGCCTCACATTGGCCTATTAGCACTAAATTGATTTGTAATTAGAGGAAAATGTTGTTGCCTTTCATGATCTCTGCTGTCAAAAGTGATTCACATGCTGTGATGGATCTTTCATGTAGCACCCTTGGCTTCCTGCAATGTTTTCATGGCAGGCAAAGTATGGAAATGTTGCCTCTGTGCCATGGAAACTAATACTCAGAAAGCACATATATCTGTGGTGCTGTGCTCTGGGAGTCCTGCTTAAACACAGTGTGTCAAGGTCACTTTCTCCTGGGTGGGAGTGAAGAAGAGAGAATGTTCAGTGGTTCAGTTACAGAACTGTGGGATAATGTTTTTTGGGTTCCAGTAGGCATTTGTTTGACCTTAGATAACACTTTGTATTTAGTGATGTTATTGTGGCTACTGAGCTGGGCTCTGTGAGAATTGATTCAAGTCCAATTTGCCTTTTTTTTTTGCAGCACTCTCCTGTTAATACCATGACTCCTGGTAGCATTGGACCAGTAAAGAAAGAGAACACTGGTAAGGAGGAGTGTTTGTGTGTTTTAGCATTCAGCCCCATGCTAGCAAACTGTAACAGCTGAAGTAAGTTACCATCACTGGTGGGTTTGCCTCAATAAGTGAGTGCTCACTGAACTTTGAGGTGGAAATAGCATTACATATTTACAGTTACACCTTCTTGTCCTGAAAGCTTAACAGAAAAACATACCAAGAGAAGCAGAAAGGGTAACTCCAGAGCACAGCAGCCTCAAGTGGCAGTGATAAACAGGGTACAGAATGCAGCCTGGTCATGAGCTGTAGTGTAAAGTTCTTCCTGGAACTAATCACATTATTGGGCAGCTTAGTTATGAGTCATAAGAAAGGTCAACAAGGACCAGGATGAGTGTGTCAGGAAAGGAATTGTGGCAAATACAACAGAGTGTTTTTACTTGTGACTCCACTCTAAAAAACTTCAAATTGCAGATTTACCATCTTACTAGAAAATATTTTTCCATGTAAGACAGGCATAAACCATAGCATTCTGCCTGTGAACTCTCATGTGTCTTCAGTACCTCATCAGGGCTGTGCCCAATACTTAATGGGAAGAAGTGGATTTCTATGTGAGGAGAAGGTTCTTTTGTAAATGTCTCTGCTCACTTAAAAAATCCCATATTTGGGGGCTTGGGGAAGATTAATATTTCATACTTCTCCACTTTACCCATTTTCAAGTGCTAGACATTTTATGCCTGAAAGGAAGATTTCTTTGCTATAGAGGTTGGGTGAAGGAGATTTAAGAGAAAGGAGAACATTCTCCATCTGCAAATTCTGAGTTGAAGAATCTCTGCAAAGATACTGAGGTGAAGGAGACTATAAACATTTACTAGAATGCTTTTTAATACAAAGACTTTTCCAAAGCCTAAAGAAATCTAAGTTTTCAGCAAACCTAGAGGAACAAAGACGATCCAAAATTCAGTGTCATTCCCCCACCCCCACCCCCATTTCTTACAGGTACTTTTCAGGTGACATCTGAAAACAGTAAAACTATTTGGAATACAGAGGAGGTCCCAGAAGGATCTGAATATGATGATACCTGGGACCCTAGAGAACAGCCAGAGTAAGTGAGCTGAGACTGCCTGCCTGGGCTCTGCATAGCATTGATGGAAATAGGAGTTAAACAGCTTCTACTGCATTTAAGACAGCCATCTGACAAGCTTTGTGTCATGGAAGGAGAAAGGGAGGATATCAGTGTTGCATCTAAAGCCACATGTGAGGAGTGATTTTTAACCTCTCGTTTGGAAACCTTCTGATCTCGTAAATAGAACCATGGAGTTGTTTTTTCCCATCATAAGATTATTTGCAGTGTCACATACTTGTATAAAGTCAGATTAGGAGGAGAAGTAGGCCACCAAAACTTTTTACTAGCTTTCATGTATGCCATTTGTGTGAAATAGCTGTCTTTTCCTGCTGCAACTGAGATGCATTCATTTTTCATACTCATAAATTCATAAAGTACTCCAACTTAAGTTTGCATTTCAAAGGATTACGCTCTTTAGAGACAAATAGACACTGACAGAGGGTAGATTTAGATTGGATATAAGGAAGAAGTTGTTCCCTGTGAGGGTGCTGAGGCGCTGGCACAGGGTGCCCAGAGAAGCTGTGGCTGCCCCATCCCTGGCAGTGTTCAAGGCCAGCTTGGACACAGGGGCTTGGAGCAACGTGCTCTAGTGGAAGGTGTCCCTGCCCGTGGCAGGGGTTGGAACTGGGTGAGCTTTAAGGTCCTTCCAACACAAACCAGTGTGTGGTTCTGTGAAAAAGTACTACAGGAAGGAAGGCTGTATGCAGGCAGTTTTGAACTTGTAGATCTTGTTGTTCAATCCTAGTCTGTCAAGGGACAGCCTAAAACCAGGGTCTTTTCCCTTGCTTATAGAGAGAAAATGACAAAAATGTTCTTGAAAGGCATACAATCCGGCATGTTAGTTGTAGTTTGTAGGGGTCAGAAAGTCTTCAGAGTCAATCAATCCACAAAGCACTCTTTGCACTTTTAATCACTGTGTTTCTGATGCCGTATCTTGGAGTGATAGATGCTGGAGCCGATGGACTGAAGCCTCTGAAGCTGCACACTGTATGCTAGTTTGTAGTCCAGAATCCTCATGTTTCTCTGCATGTAAATCATGCCATGAAGTGCTCAATTTCCTGTTCTAAGCACAGGACTGAGACCAACCTGAACTTAGACTCAACATACCTGAAAATGATTCGGCATTCACCTATAGCCTTACATACAGTTGGTCTTGATACTGTCACCTTTGATGTATAGGACATGCTTCTTCGTATTGTGGGCACAACAGAAGCTTTCCTAGTGCCATTTTTTGACCCTTACCCTCCCTGCTGGGTAAAACACAGTGCTTCTCTGGCCTCAAGGAATTATGTCCTGTGTTGCAGCAAAGAAAAGAGAGTGTAAGTCCTTATAGTAGTTCATCAAATTGAATCAAGGAAAATGGCCCAAAAGCAAAACAGATGGCTAAAGAGATGCACCCAGAGCTATTAGACAGATTTCTCATTGACTTAGGAATTACTACATATGCATATGAACACTGGAGATGTAAAAGAGACTTTCCATACACTCTTAAAGAAGTGACTCACTCCACTTCTTTTGCTCAATTTAGTAGGAGTAATGTATGTTCTAAATACAAATTTACTTTGTATTTCCTCATTCATTAATTATAAAGAGCAAGTAAGTATGTGATTCTAGACTTTGTAGTTGTGGAGAGGAAGAAAACAAATGTTGGCTGAATGCAAAACAATTACGATCTGACAAAAGTGTTATACTCAGGCTGCAAGAACATGTTGAATGACAGAACAGAACACATGTAATTAACAGCATCCTTTTCAAATCTATTTCCCAAGGGTTTGTTTGACTAGTTGGTAAGTATCATATTCACTTAGTCTGTATTTGCTGGTTAGTGAAGTAGAGGCGGCCTTGGAAGGTGGAATGAATGATCCTCCCCAGCCCTCCAGCTAACTCATTTGTAACTGTGAACAGAAATCCAGTGCAGATGGGTTGAAGCCTTGAAGGGAGACTGGAAAGGAGGAGAAATGATGCAATGAGGATATTTATAGTCCTCTGAGAACTAGTTTGCTTTAGTCTCCTGCCCCTTCTCCAGTAGTGTTAGGCAACGACTTTTCTTTCTCAGGTATGAGATTTTATTCAAACAATGTGTGGGAACAGAGGATGTCTTCTTTGGGATGAGCAGGAAAGACCCCTCCACAGCCTGCTGTGAAGATATAGTGGTGAGAAGAACGTGTATCTCCCAACCCTTTGTGCTCTTTCTCTGCCCTGTTCAATCTTGACACCTTCTTGAGGGACAGAATGCAAACACTAAGCTGTATTGCTGCCACTGGCCTCCTGTAGGGTTTTCATGTACTTCTTCAAGCATTTGTATATGATATTTACACTTGCTGACCTGAGGAATTAATGTGTATCTCCTCAAGGACCTATTGCACTCAAAAGAATCTATGCAAATGCATATGCCACATACAGACATGAGGGAAATAAAAAGTAGCTCTAAGATGAAGTTTCATCTTGGATACAACCTTGGGAAGGAGACAGTTTTCATCTGCCTGCATTTATTGTAAGGTTTGTGAGTTAGCAGAGTGCTACAATACTGATACTCTTTAAAATTACAGGTATCAGATCCTGTCCCATTATTACATGATCAAAGATGTTCCCTGCTTCCTGAACTTCAGCAATTTTTCTAGTAGAAGCAAACTGTCTAATGCATGAAACCAGGGGTTTTGCTGGATGTAGAATACCTGTCAAGTACACTGGCAGCTCAGGATTTTGAAGAAAATAGAGTATCAATACATATTACTAAGTTATTGAAAGCAATGATTACCACTGTCGTATTTTCTCTGTTAGAAATCAGCTTCTCAATGTTGCTCTTTGACACTAGCATCAAAATATTCATGAAGATGAGTTCTTTTATAGCTTGTAGGGCTATAGATCTAATCACAGCTTTTCCTCTACCCATCATTTCAGATTAAAATCAAACTGCCAGAGACAAAGAACTCGGACATCACATTAGATATTCAGGACAAGGTTCTTGACCTTCGAACTCCCAAAAAGTAAGCAAAACACAATTGTGTACAGTTAATATCTTGTTTGAAAGAAGGTTTAACTAAGCCTTCAACTGAATGCTGTGTGGAAAGCAAAGCTAAAGATGAAGATTGGATTATTAATTGCACATGGGAAATAGACACAGACACAAAACAACCACAGTCCGTGTATAGTGGGCTAACTTTGAATCTGTGATACTGTTATAGCAAAAACAGCTTTAAGACAGATCTTGGCTGCTTAAGCAGTAAGGCTTCAAGGGTCCAAAATGTTTGGCAAAACCCTCCCTATGGTCTTGAAGGACTTTTTGGAAGTTTGCTTTCCAAATATTAATTTGGACAAATATATAACTAAAGATGGTCAAAATGTGCAGATACATTTTCAGAAGTTGAAAGCCAAATTGTGGACATAGCCAGGCATGGATACAGGGATGGAAATGTTACAAGGTTTTCCTGAAGAGATTTCCTTTGAGTTCTTATTTTTCAACAGGGGCTACTTCAAAACTACAAAGATAATGGAGTGACTGGTATACTCTGACTTCCCAGTCTTTCTCTGTGTGCAGTTGCCCTGCCCAAGATTGCCACATGATTCCCATCTGTGTTTTGTTTTAAGTCCTCCTTCACAATAGAGTGCTACCATAAGAAAGCTTAACCCCCTCTGGGCTGACTTGCTGCATTGAATGGAATATGGTAAAATCCATATGTGAATAGCTTCCTGCAAATAAATTCAAGGTGCAGGCCATGGATTTAGGCTCAAATAACTTCTGTCCCTAGCGGACTAACTGTAGAAAAGCCACTTTTCTCACAGACAAAACCAGGCTAAGTTGGTTATCCCCTGCTTGGATTTAACCCA